CTCTCTCTCTCTCTCTCTCTCTCTCTCTCTCTGCCCCTCCCCCGCTGTCTCTCTCTCTCTCAAAATGAACTTGAAAAAAGATCCCCAAATGTATGGAAACTGTTTTCACTAAAAGACAAAAAGAAAACTTGAAAGGCACCAGAGACCAGACTCAAAGAGGCAAGAGACCAAAGTGCTGGCTTCTCAACAGAAAAGGCAGGAGGCAGACAGCCACACCCCTGCCCACCCTCAACTGCACTTAGCGGAAACACCTTTAGGAACTAAGGATGAAACGGAGAGGTCTTTTTTGCACGAGCAGAAGCCGAGAGAATTCACTGCTGCTGCTAATTCCTCAGGCTTAAGGACCGTGATCCCAGATGGACCCACGGGAAGGAGGAGGACGCTACAAGGCGTAGACGCACGTCCGCACTTGCAGGAGCACGTGCCTGGGCTTGAGTCTCAGAAATGCGCCTACGTGCCACCCCACAGGGAGGCGGACTCTCCAGGGCTGCCTCACCTGCCCGTGGGGACTCTGTCAGCAGCACCCACACCACCCCGTGCTTGCGACGAGTCCGCGAGTCCTTCTTAGCACGGCGCCTGGCCTGTGGCGAGCCCTGCTGCATTCTTACCCCCAAGTCGTCCTTCACTGCGTCGTGGGGGCTGGGAGCCGTGGGAGCCACTCCAGATCCTGCTTCGGGAGCTCTGATCAGAAACTGTCCCAGAAGACTCGCAGAATCTTTCTCCGATAGGAAAGATAGGGCAGGGGAGGCCATTGCCCTGATGCTGGAAATAGAAATTTTGGCTACTGCCAAGAAGAAAGGCTCCTGAGGTTCCGGTATGGCCAGCCGTCTCCCTTGCACCTGCCGAGAGCGGGGTGGAACTTTCGCAGTGGCCGGGCCGCTTACGTGGGACCCCGCAAGAGCTCCGTCTCCTCGGGGCTCACTCAGCTCTGCCACATGGGGTCCTAGGCAGAGCCCACCGCGGGCAAACCAGCAGACGGGCACCCCAGCTCTCAGCAGAGGTGGTCTTTACCCACATTTTTCTACCTATCTCACCTTCTATCACCTAGCTGTCCACCCACCCTCCCATCCTGTGAAGTCAGGCTTGTCTTTCAACCCCAACCCTGCCCCTTCCCCCAAGGAAAAGAACACACGTCAAAAGCCAGACCCGAGGCCACATTTTCCACCGTCATCCCCCTCTTGGATTTCCAGTAGTTCTGACTGTTCCTCCAGGATGCTAACCTTGCTCACCACCCCCCCGCCCCCGACCCCATCCCCACTCCTGCTGCCCAGGCTGGATGCCAGCCCTCTGTCCTCTTCCTGGTTGTACCAGGGGGAATGAAGCGGACGCATAAGGCTCTGCGCATAAGTCTGCTTTCCCATCTGACTTTATTTCACTTTTTTTTTCTATAAAACTCCTCCATAATTTCACAATTTAACAAAAAGTTTAAAATTCAGGACAGAAACAATCCTGTGACTTATTACAAACACGATTCTCCTTTATTCCTTTTATCCAGGAGTTGGTCTCAGGCCGATGAGTGTCCTAGTTCCTAGTGAGACACATTCTTTGTAAAAACCCTTATGGGCAAGAAAGGTATTCGATACCTTTTGCTTTCAGGTGTCGGTTTACATTTTGTTCAGGAGAGAGCAAAACACAGGGATCTGCACTGGGGGCAGGGGACTTAACACTAAACACGCGGCAATCACAAAGTGCCGGCCCCTTCCTATGGAAGCGTCCCCAGAGCCCTCGTGGGCCCAGCTGCCGGGCAGCTGGGGGTGGGCCGGGGAGGGGGGCGGCCGGGAAGGCTGCGGTCAAGGCCCTGGTTGCCTGGCACGTCCATCAGGTGATCGTGGGGCCAGCACTGGACCCAGAGCAGCTCTGGGGGACAGCACTGGGGCCTTCTGGCCAGAGGAGGTAACTGAGAAATGGGTTGGTGCTTCTGAAGGCCCCAGAAACAGCAGGAGGGGCCAGACGCTGCTGCTACCGAGGGCAGGCCGAAGCCTGGCCTTCCTCCAGCTGCTTCCTGGGGACAGCCCGGCTCCAGACAAGAACGCTGCCCGAGTCCGGTGTGGAGCCCGGGAGGGCCTGTGGCCCTTCCCAGGAGATGCTCCGGAAGGGGAAGGGCTGGCGCCCTGGGGCTCAGGCTCCCGGCCATGGCCCCCAGCAGCCTCTGTGCAGAGGGCCGGGCAGCTGCTGCCTTTCACGTAGCCCACGTCAGGCTAGTTCCTTCTGTCCACTGTCTTAGAGTTTCCAGAGAAGAGAGGTGCCCCACTTTGGAGTATTGTTGGCCTGCCTGGGGAAGGGGACGGTGACGGCACGGAGCCTGCCACACAGGCCCGCCCTCTTCCTAATACCTCAAGGCAGTGGGGTCAGGAGAGAATCAGAGCAGATGGCGAGCAGTCGTGGCGGTTTCCTCTGAAAGTTTTCGGGCCTTCCCGGCAAGTTCTGGGGATTTCACCAGGGAGGCTGAAATTTGGGGAAACCTAGGAGGCAGGTCTCCCCAGGGAGTGTTTAGGGTCTGCCTGACAGACGGAATCGGGGACACACTAGTCGGGAACCACAGGGAAGGGGAGCTTGGCACTCCCCGCATCGGAGCTCCCGACAGGAGGGGAGGAGAGGCCCTCTGAGGGTGGGCTGGGGACAGAGGGTGAGCCCACCTCGGGGCCCTGGTCCTTTCCCCCCACACAAGTCAGGGCGGGGGCACTGGGGGATTAGAGGCTGAGCAAACAGGACCCCGGCCCCCAGGAGCCCCACCCAGGGTGGGCTAACCCCATGAGGGCATTCTGGCTGAGAGGGTGGGGAGCCAGCTTGGCCCTCGGAGAGTCTCAGGCATGCGAGGAGTCAGGTCTCTGGACTGGCGTTGACTTGAAGGGGTGGGACGGCCAGGCCCGAACCAAGAGAGGGGTGCCCGGGAGGGCCTGCTGCCGGCTGGGCCCTGGCTCGAGGGGCTGGCTCTAAGTCCTGACGCTCCTCAAAAAACTCCACAAACTATCTCGTCTTATTTGGCAAAAGCTCATTTTTTCAAAGTTCGAAGACTCCAACGACAGAGAGGAGGAAGAGGACCCATGGAAGGAGGAAGAAGACGAGCCGTGGGGGGCAACACACGACATGGCCCATGGCTGGTGGAGGCCAGGAGGTCTGCTCCTGGAGGCGGCCGCCGGTCTGACCAGGCGCCAAGTGCGCGGAGGCCCCTGGGTGCCGAGGACCCGCTGCCCCGTCGTAGTGTTCGCCGGCCCTCGGCTGGGTCCTCCGGGCCACGGGAGGACGAGACATCCTTGGAGCCGCGAAGGGCGAGTCCTCCCCTCGCCTCTTAGAGGCGCCGGCGATGCTCCAGCTGGGCCTCCGGGCCCCGCGACAAGACCAGTGGGAACGTCTTAACCTAAAAGTCCCGCCTTACTCACCCCCCACCCCCCACGTGCACTGCTGCCACGGAAACGCACACCCGGAAACCGCTCTGGTACCTACAGTGCATACACATACGCTAGAGAGAGAACTGTACAGACAGAGTCCCAGCACAGTGAGAGCCCGCAGGGGACTGCACCCGGCCTGGCGCGGCCCTGGGCACGGTGGGTGTGTGGGAACCGTTGGGGGAGGCTGGAGGCAGTGCCCCGGCTGCTCAGAGAGGCCAGGGCAGTGAAACCATGCCATGTGTCCTGCGGCGGAGCGGGGCCCCCACCGCGGGCCACGTTTCCTCCCCTGCTGAAGTGAGGCCTGGTGCTGCCTTCAACACAAGCTGCTTTCTGAGGGGGGCCCAGGTGACGGCCCCTGAGTGTTGGGGAGCAGCGGCGCCGGCCTGCCCCCCCTCAGCCTCAGGGCTCCCGATCTGGTAGTGGGGAGGGGGGGCCGGGAGCCGACGAGGAAAGTGCAGCTGGCCGTGCGGGCCGAGGACAGGGCGGTCACTAAGGCAGTGCTGCGGGTGGGTGAGTCGAGAGAGAAGAAGGAAGGCGGGGCCTGGGCGTGGCCTCCCGGGGCCCCCAGTGAAGAGGGCCCGGCACCCGGCCCAGGGTCATGTGGCCACGGCCTCCAGGTAGCTCTGCAGCTTACGCACGGTAGTCTCGTCCAGGGAGAAGAGATCAAAGTCAAAGGTGGTGTTGGTGACGTTGAAGTGGCCGGTCTCCTCAATCAGGTTTACGATCTGGAAGATAGGGCAGGGCAGGTGGCTTAAGAGAGCAGGAGGCTGGGCTGGGGTGGCCCTCACCCCTCACCCCGCCCCCTGTCAGGCTCTGAGGGAGAGGAGGAGGAGAAGGGCTCCCTGGGAATGTCCCGCAGCATGCACGCCTCCAGGGCACCCCCTGCCCCAGGCGCATCTGAGAGAACCGCGGGGTCCCCGCACCTGTTGCAGCACGTTGCGCTCCCTCAGGGCCATCAGCCTCCGGTGCAGCTCCACCAGCTCATCCGTGTAGGCCTGGGGGTGACGGAGGGGCGCTCAGCCGGTGGCCGCAGCCCCACCCTGCCCACAGTCCCACCCATCTGGGCCCAGGGTGTGGGGAAAGAGGAAGGCCTCAGGCACCCCTGGGTGAGGCTGGGACAGGGCACCGGCCAGAGGAGTCTGTCCAGCTCCGGGGGCCCAGAACCTCCCTCCCACCACCCGCCGGCCCCCAGTTGTCCACCTTGTCGTAGGTGCCCCTCTTGAGGATCTTCTCGGGCTTGCTGCAGGACTCTGGGCTCCTCCGGCCTGACGCCTGCAGGGCAAACCCAGATCTGCTCTGAGCTCTTGCCCTCACTCACCTCCTCCCCCAGCCCGCTGGAGGCTCTCCCACCCGCCTCCAGAGCCTGCCTGGAGCCCTGGGGCTGGCTCCTATCCTCCTCCTTCTGACCCTGACTCTAAAGGCAGCCAACCATGGGCAACAGATAGATCTCTGGGGTCTGGGGGGAACCAAGCCTCCCTCTGCCCCACCCTCGGTCTCCATTCCTTGGAGACTACAGTCCACATCCCGCAGCCCTGCCTCCAGGACATGAGGGCTGAAGCAGAGACCTGCTCGCCCAACAGACCACCTCCTCCTCCCCCTCTTCCTCTGAGTGGGGGCCACCCGGGCATCCCCCAGCTTACCTTGCTGTTGGGTGGGGGCGGCTTCTTGGAGGGAGGGGGCTCCCGGCTGGGCAGGCAGGAGTCGGCACTGTTGTCACTTTCACTGTCACTGAAGCTCAACCTGAACACAGAACACAGCACCCTGTCAGGCCCTCACCACCTGCTGCTCTGGGGACCTGCGCTCCCGGATTCTGCCCTTCGTTCTTGGTTCGGCGCTCCGCTAGACCCCAGGAGACCGGCCTCACTCGGCACAGAGCCCCAGAGCAGCACGCTGGCACTCTGAGGGGCTACGTGGGGCTCCAGGGCCAGCACACAGCCCAGTGTCGGTCTGCCGGTCTCACTCCTGAGCTCAGCTCTGCTGCTGGTGACCCTGTAGGCAGAGCCACCTGCGGCAATCTGCCCAGGGTGAAATCTCGGCTCCCACCTGAGCTGACCCCCTCTGGACGGCAGGCTTCTGGCAGGGACATCAGGCACCCTGTGCCCGGGAATAAGCATTCAGGCTGTCTCAGGGGAAGGGCGTGGCGGCTCGGGGTCACAATCCCCAGCACGCATGAACCTATAGCCCCGTCTCTCTCACTACGTCTCATCACACAAAATATGTCGGCCCGTCCGTCGCCTTTAGCCCTCTCCAGAGTCTCTCGAGGCATAGTGAGCAGGTGTGGAGGAAACTCATCCGTGGGAAGAGTCTCCGTCCGGGACCCCCAGTCCCTGGGGACACCCCGGCCTTGCCATAGTCAGGAGGAGTCCCCCAGGCCTGCCAACATCTACCACACGGCACATCCACCTGCTGCTTTCTCCTTCTGCCTGAAACAGGCCTCCCCACAGAACGCAGCGCACGAAGTACCCAGGTACACAGTGGCCAGAACCTTGGCCCTGGGGGCTCTGGCCTCACTCCTCCAAGGCCACGGCTGTCCTGTCCTCAGAGGGGCTTCTCCCACAAGAAGCACCAGCCCCCAGGGCCCTGCTGTTCTCGGGGGGCCCAGGGCCTGCTCTCTCCCAGACTCCTGCAGCTGCAGGTCTGCCGTGGGCGGGGGGTGGGAACAGGCCGGTGGGAGGTCTCCTCGTTGCCCAGGTGGCACTATAGTGTCCCCCACGCCTGCGGGCCCACCAGGAAGCACCTCCCGAGAAAGCAGAGGGAATAAGGTGGGGCTCTGTCAGCTCACCCCAAGCAGCCACAGGGCCAGCGTGACCCCTTCCCTGGAGCCCCAGGAAGCCCCTGAAAGGGACACTAAAGGCCCTTCTGCACATCCGGTCCCCGTGCTGTGCCAGGAGCCCCTCAGGACCGGACGGACACGTGTTAGAGCTCTCAGCATCCCGCTCTCAGTGCCGCGCACTGCCAGCACACCGGGTGGTCATTCCCGTCATCCCCCCGGCCCGCGCCCCAGTTTCCCTTACCTGGAGGGTGCCGGCAAACGCCAAGAGCCCGTTTAAGGACTCTCTCAGACGCAACTCTGGGCGGCGGGCTTAACCGGCATGACTAACAGCGCCACGGCAAGCACCCGTTGGGCGTCCCTGAGCCCGCTGGGTGCAGACCCAATGCCCAGCCCATCTGAAAGATGAGCCACTGAGGTCGCGAGGTCTTGGCCTCCCAGGCAGGAGGGCCTATATCAAGACAGGGCCGCTGGCTCCCGGGTCTGCCCGTTCTGCAGGCCTGGCGCCGAGGCCGGCATTTGCTCTGGGCTGCAGGCTAAGAACACACGGCCATCCCTGAGGTGGGCCCGCTCCAAGGGTCCGGGGGCACCCAAAGGAGGAGCCTCAGCTCACCCCGCTCTGAGGAAAGGACAGATGTCACCCTCCCTAAGCCAGCAGGCAGCCACAGCAGCTCCCCACGCTGGGGTGTGTGCCAGTCCCAGGACGGTTTCCGGGCCGCCCTCACCCCGGGCCACGCAGGGGCAGAAGGGTGAGGGGGAAGCAGCCCCCTGGCCCGAAAGCAGAGGAACGAGCCTCCCCCTACACCCTGAACCGGCCGTCAGGCTGCTGTGCGCTGCCTCACTCCCCTCTCGGCTGGTGACCGGACCTCCCTCCCTGCCCTCTCTGCCCTCCCTGCCCTCTCTGCCCTCCCTGCCCAGCAGACACCTCAGGAGCCGCAGCTTGGTGGAACTGAGAGAGCACGCAGCCCCCAGGGGTGCCTCGGGTGGGGTGCTCCGGGGACACGCTCAGCCCGGCCCCACCTCCTCGCCCCCTCACCCGCCCTGCTCGCTCCCCGAGGGCCCAGGCACCTGGAGTCCCTCCCAGCATTGGTCTTCCCAGAGGCCTCCTCGCCCGACGAAGAGTCGTCTTCGTCGGATTCCTCCGACTGCAGGTCCTCCACCATGGAGCGCAGGGGGCCTGGGGAGGGCAGCAGGGGAGGCAGGCAAGGGGACAGAAGCAGGATCAGGGCTCTGCCTGCACTCCACAGGTTCCCCTGCACGCCCGGGACCACGCGGCCCTTCTCGAAACCGTGACCCCCAAACACACCCACACAAACCTGCCTCGGAGGTCCCTCTGGCCACCTGAGGTCTGCCACCCGCCTCCAAGAGCTACCCCCGTGGCCACCCCCTTCCTGAGGGACCCCCTGGCTCCCCACCCCCTACCTTCCTGGCCCTGCTCGCAGGCTTCTGGCCCCTGGCCCTGCTCGCAGGCCTCTGGCCCCTGGCCTGCAGCGGGACTGCAGGGCCCCTCCATCGCCCAGGCTGAGGGGCAGCCCTCCTTTGCTCCGGGTGTGGGGAGCACAGCCTCTGCCTGGAGTCACGGCAAGCCAGCCCCGGCCTGGGAGGGCAAGGCAGCCAGAGCCGGGGGCACAGAACCCTCCCGGGCAGCCTGCGCCCCTACGCCGGCCTGCCCAGGCCCTCAGCAACCCCCTCCGCTGCTCTGGGCCAACCGTCCGCTCCTCTCTCCAGAGGCCCACAGTTCCAGTCCCCTACAGACGGCATCTTGGTTTATATTCCTGTTACCAAGGCAACAGAGGGACACAAAGCCCTCAATTACCTTGGTCACATGATCCCGCTCGGGCAGGTTCCCCCTCCCTTCCCCATAGATAAGAACCCTTGGAGCGAGTGTGGGCTTTGAGCATCCCATCCCCCATTCCCCTCAGCGACTGCAAGTCTGAATTCCAGGCAGGCCATACC